TTGGCTACCTCCAATTTATAGTAGGTGCCTTAATATACATTAGAACATTACTTATTTACTTTCTTGATGATAATTTAGTAAAAAGGTACTTACAAAGTTTAACTTACTCTTGTCATGGTCAAATAATATAAACATTTTTGTACTCAAATATAAACCTATCCATAGCCATGGGTTATGGAAAAGCTTTTCCTGGTGGTACAGATTAAAACCAGAGCCCTGACATGCAAAGCAAGCATTCTATCACTTAGCTGCATCCCCAACCCATTTCTAGATCAGCAGAATTAATCTGAAATATATCTCATCATTAAAGTGAGTTGTAAAATAATTATTTCAAGCAGGTCTGCAACTTTCATTTATTCCTAGAAATTCCAGTGCAGAATAAAATTGATTTATTTCAATATAATAATATAATATGTGACACATATTATGTAATATAATAATATAATACCACAAGCCTTTTTCAATAAAAGACCAAATATTAAATATAATCTCAATATATTTCAATGTCTATGTGAAACTGGAGTCATACATTAAACCCAGGAAGAATAGACTGAAACTATTCTACTCAGCATAAAAAATTGGAGGACACAATATATTTTAAAAATAATTCCAGAGGGCTGGAGAGATGGCTCAATGGTTAAGAACACTGGCTGCTCTTCCAGAGGTTCTGAGTTCAATTTCAGCAGCCCCCTGATGGCTCACAGCCATCTGTCATGAGATCTGGTGCCTTCTTCTGGCATGCAGGTATACGTGCAGAACACTCATACAAAAAAAATGAAAAAAAACCAAATGAATAAATAATAAGTAAATAGAAAAATAATTCCAAAAATAAATGCTAAACATTAGACATTCGTTCATAATAACTCTTTACAATACTGACTTAAAGTGTCAATCAGCAATATATTTAATTTGGGAATCTTGTGATATATAAATACAATGACTTTTGTGCATAGAAATGTTAATTTTTACAGATTACTAACAATTCTGATGTCAGATTTATACATAAACTTATTTTTCTACATTTTCTAATTTGATCATAGAATATAAAAATAATTAATTGCATGAGTCTCTGATTTTATTTTATTAAGTCATAAACCAATATATGCCTATATAATATATTCACACACATTAACTTTGAAAAGAAAGGGCTGGTAATTCAATTTAGTGGTGAAGTACTGGTCTTGAATATGTGAGACAATCCCTGGGTTTGATTCTCAGCAAATACGAAAAGTGGCATTAAAAAAAACCTGTAACAATACGTGTTTTATGATAACAGGGGTCACGCATGTGTATATTGTGATTCATGATAATGAAGTACAACTAGATGATGATGTAGCAATATCCATTGGTGCCATCTATAAATGGAACCACGTCTTTTACCACTCAGCTCGTTGGAGCAATCTTGGGAAACAACTGTCATGCCCTCAAACTGGCTGAGGTCAAATTCTAGTCAATGATCCTTCTCTAAGATTGATGGTTCTGTGTTACTCATCAAATGATTATTCTCTAAGATTGATTGCCTGTGTTACTCATCATTCCCATGCTTGCACTGGCTGGCCTCACAAGTCCACATGCAGGGGGAAGGCTTAGACACTATGGCTGATTCACTTCTACAAGGAGCGGCATCCAGGATGTCCCCGCTCTAACCTGGCTTTCTCTTATAGAACTGCTACTCAGTATGACTCCATTTATGCAAGTGTATAGTGTCCTAATCTCTGATGTTGGTGGTAAAAGATTATATTCAATTCCTCCCTACATAACACCTAATTATGTTTTAGGTAGAGACAAGTGTGTAAGTTGTCAGTGTTGAAACAAGTTTAAAACTCTAGCTTTTAGAGCTTGAGAAGAATAAAGCTTGAAGCTAATGGTATTGCATTAGTTATGAAATAAATAATAAAACTGCAATTTTTTTATCACAAGTGCTTGTCCACTCTAGAAACTGTGATAAGCTTGGCATAGACCAGCAAGTTGCTAAAACAACTTGATTTGTTTTTCTTCTTTCTTGATCTCAACCAAACTTTCTTAGACATGAAGGTGCTAAGCCTTTATCAATGAAGATAATAATTGTGTATTTAGGTCAAATATACAGTTTGCCAATTTTCTGCCCAGTTATGTTTCAGAGAAGATAAAGGAGAAATGACCAACTGGTTTTACACTTTAAAAATTCCAATCCATTAGGTATTGGATATGTACTGCAAATGCTTACTTGTCATCATTTGTTGGTACTTATCAACTGTTTTACTAAACCACCTTTTTCCTCCTAGTAGACCTCTATCTAGCATATACCTAATACCCACATAGAACGTTAGCGTTACAATACCTTCAGGGCCCTCCCTCAGATAACCTACAAAATAAAATAAAGTGACATACTTTGGCTGGACTGTGTAAACTCCACTGAACATACCATAGCACTTCAGATCTTCCCTTTGTTCAAGGAGAGGAAAGCTTTCCATCTCAGAACGTTTCCTGTCTTTATCCTACAGCTTCCTTCTTCTGAGATAAAGAAACAGCCTCTTCTAATGCAGACTGTTGCTGGGGGCTATATGCAAGCTGTCTCTGGGTGCTCCACATCTGGAAAGCTTAACATTAGCTAGATTTTTTTTGTTTACCTAAATCACAGAGGGTTACTCCAGTCCCCTGCTTCTTCTTAGGCTCTCAGATCACTCCTTAACCTCTAGACACATTTCCAAGGAGATAATGACAGGATGCCATAATGAGCACATGCAATATAAACTATTTTCTGCAAATCCAGACTGCCATATCTATCACAACACTTTTTTTTAACCATAAAAAATTGGGGAGAAAACCCTGGTGAGTAGGTTGATGTCACTCCAGAGACACTCTTAGGAAAAGGGTCAGATGGAAAATGTTTAACTTGGAGGTGCATGCTGGTATTTGGAAACAGAAATTATGCCAAAAAAAGCTTTGGAATGTTTTGGAAATGGGTTTAGAAATGGTAGGCTCTCATTTATTCTATTCTAAAAGCTTTAGTTTTTGAATAACTGAAGAGACATTGTCAAATAGACTGACCATCTAACAGAGACAGGCTTATGGTCATGCTGGTATAACTCAAACAATAAAGACATAGTTGTTGGCGTTGATGGCTCAGGTTGAACCATCAACCATTACACACATACTCACACCACACACACACACACACACACACACACACACACACACTCACACACACACACAATTTTTACTTGGTGTGATTATTTTTTCAATGCTGGAGATTAAAAGGCAAGTACTTTTCCGTGTCACAGCCCAATTTTATTTTATTTTAGGAAGAAGAATTCTAAAACCTAAGGGAACAATCTCTCCCAAGTATTTGGAAACAGTTTTTGACCTATCAACCCAGAGATTCTGAGGGCTGAGAACTTGGAAATGCAACAGAATGAAGAGGAGTAAAGCTGATAGTTTCAGGTAACTATGATGCCATCCAGCTTCTTATCTACAGGGTTAAAAAAAAAAAGTTCAATAACACTATTAAAAGCAACTATTACTCTGAGAATTGCTAAATATTTGTGATGCATCATCCAACCATTGCTTGATCTTGAAACTAACCAGACAACAGAATCTCATTGATAAAAAAAAAAGAAATGCAAAGCCCACAGCCAAGGAGTGTTGTAATGATTTCTCTTCAATGGGAAATGAAAGAATGTGATGATCTTGGCTGGCGTTTGGCTTATCTGCATGGAGAGCCAGTACTAGCTCTGAGCTGGAAGACTTCTTTGACATGGGCGAGCGGGCTCAGTAGTGGCTGACTTTACAGTGAGTCAGCAGATCTATATTTAAATCCTCGGAGTCTGCCTCCCAGACATGAAACAACAAATGATAGTTGGTGAAAAATAAGCTGGAATTAAAAAAAAAAATCTGTAGCTCTGAAGATCCCAAGAGTACAATGAAAACAGCTAGCTTGCTGATCGATGGCACTTTGTTTTTGTTTTTTTTTAAACATCCACACATTTAATTTCATTTGATCCTCACCAACGACCCTTCGAGGTGTTATCAAGCCCATTGTACAGTCCAAAATGGAGGTTTTAAATACTTTTAAGTACCTTGCTGCAAATCATACGTCAAATGAAAGAACCCAGACAAGGCTCAGACCCCCCCCCTCTCTTTCTTTGTCTCCTGTTTCCCCACATCTCCACACACTTTTTGTTCTGGACCTGCTGCGTGGACAGGAAATGGGAAAAATCAGTACAATGTTTTAAATCAAACCTTTAAGTGAGCATATTATGTCTGGAGTTACTCTAGGAGACTTCTTAAAATCTATGAATCTGGATTCACCAAGTAGGTACTACGTGGTGTTAACATCTGGGATAGCACAGGATGCCTTATGATGCTGGTCAATGTATGTGTAAACTATCCAAGAGAATATCTGTAGGCACCTTCTCTTTTAGGTCTCTATAAAGTGTGGCAACCCTTATGCAAATTATTGGCCTGTCCATGACATTGTCAAACCTTTGGCCTGTGAGTAAGCATGTTCTTCAGAGTCAATAGAACATCAGGACTGTGAAGGAAGGACTTCCAGGTACCAAGTTATCTCCTTTTCATTCTGAACCCAAACCTCCTACACCTCCCATTACATTTTATGATGTACAAATTGACAGCAGCAACACTGGTCCCTAGATAATAAATTCACTTTGTTGAGAAACAGTGTACATCACATGACTTGAAACAATCAAGCCTCACTTGTGTCAGAAATAAAAATACAACAACAACAACAAAACATCAACCACAAAATATAAAGTCAGAACAGTTACAAACCAGGCTTACACATTTCAGTGTAGCACATTTTCATTAATAGTCTATGCAAAAATAATTCAGCTTCTGGTCACAGCAATGAGGGAAACACAGCTAGAAACAATGTATGTATTGAGCTGGTTTACAGCTATCTCTCACAAACTCATCTGCTCTTATGATCTCTAGCTGGATTCAGTGATAATGAACCAAAAAGCCCCCCTCCCCCAAGAGTCAGACTGCACAGGCTGGGCAGCTCAGGTGGAGACAGGGATGAATCTAATGGACCTGGAAGATTTAGGCGAGTCCTTCCATGTCCCTGTGCTGTTTGTTGGGCTTCGGTTGTTAGAGTGAGAAGTCTGTCCTCTGCTCATGCTGTCCGAGTCATCCTTGGCAAGTTTTTGCACAACGTGTTGGCAGCATGGAAAACTTTGGACACAGTCTTGCAGGAGATGGCCACTAAAAAACATGTATATCCATGGGTTGCAGCAGCTGTTCAATGAGGCCAGTAGTGCTGTGATGGTGATGGAAGGGTTCTCTGAATCTGTGTGAAAATTGTGGGGAGAGATTATTTTTAAACAGCCAAAGCAAGACCCCACACACCGCACTGGATTGATCTATTTTCCTCCCGACTAACGAGTTAAAAAGTTGCATGTTAGTATAGAAATGAACATTTTATTTTCTAGGGAAACAGTTGGTGTCTCAGGGAAATGGGTGCTTTTTGGAATTTGGTTGCAAAAGAAAATATCTAAAAGTCAGGGCAAATAGTTTACAGCAGTCACTGTTAGAGCAGTTCAATATAATGGATAGGAATTCCAAGAAGGTGAAGTTATTGAGTACTTTATTTGAAAAAAAACGTATACTGTACATGGGTGGGAGACTTTGTGAACAGGCATGGTATTTACAGAATGGAAATCTGAAGTGTTAATAACCACATACACCAAATTGTATTTATGCTAATAACTTAGGCACAGTATGCCATATGGGCTGTGTTTAGTAGCTATGAGTGAAAACTATGGAAGAGGGTAGTGAAAACCAATCTCCAAAGAATGCTAGCTTTAGTTGAATGTTTGTGAATCATTATATATTTGGTTTGATTTTTAAAAGACCATCTTTGATTGGAGCTCAAACAACTTATAATGAGAAAAACATCTGGATTCTATGTGACCCTGTTCCAAATAATAAAAATAACAAAAACAAAACAAAATAACATAACTAAACCAGACAGCAACAAAGCCCCAAGTTGCTGAATTAGAGATTTAAACAGGACTTTGAAGTATTCCATGAGTTACCCTTGGTAAACTACATGGCTATTACAACTTTTCAAAGTGAAACTATTGCACTGACCATAAAAAATAGGACAAACCACCAAACACGAGACTTCTCCTGATTACTATACACACTTGGACCATTTCCCTTTCAACATGGCAAAATAAATTGTAGACCAGTGGTTCTCAACCTGTGGGTTGTGACCCCTTTGGGGTTGAAGAACCTCTTCATGGGAGCCACCTAAGACCATCCTGCATATCACATATTTACATTACAATTCATAAAAGTAGCAAAATTACAGTTACGAAGTAGCATCAAAAATAATGGTACTGTTGGGGGTCACCACAGCCTGAGAAACTATATTTGTCACAGTAGTAGCAAGGGTGAGAACTGCTGCTGTAGACCATTACTGCTTTGTGCTGGGTGCTGCACAGGTGACCAAAAGCCATGTATAGTATTAAAAATAATAGACATCCTCAGTATGTGGCACAAGTAAGGATTTTAGTAGTTATGTCCAAATTTCAATAAGCAATAGAATTTTAAAATTTGCTTGGCACTCTCAGAGGCTTCTCAGAGGGGAAATGTAAACGAAAAGGAATTTTGCTTTATTCCTCATTATTGGCAATGTAGCCTACACAAGTATTCACTTAAATGAAATCTATGAACATTAAAAAATAATACTCTTGAAACACATTGCATATATTCCATGCTTCAGTCCTAAAGTTACAAAAAGATACTGCTTCTCCCGGATGTTTCTATCTTGACCAGAGTTTTCATCAGGAACACTTCTCTAACACACTTGGTTTGGAAAATGTTTTTTTTTTTCTTATTAAAAGACAATATATGATAAAACACAAAATGAAATAATAGCCTGGCGAATGGGTTTTTCCGTTTTGTGAAGGAACTAAAATGAAACTAGCCTGTGGGGTGGGGAACTTCCACAGTGAACTACAGAGTGATTTGTGTGTTGTGAAGAGTTGTGTTGCCAAATTTATGCAGAAAGGGACTAATGAACAAATCCAACGAATTTAGATGATCAACTCTGCTGCTTTGGAGTGTCAGGAAAAGAAAGTTATTATGGTTTGAAAAGTGAAGATATTATAATGAGGAAGGATGCATGAACCAAATGCCAGTTTGGACTTCTTGAACCCTCTTCCAGCCTTTTCCAGAAAAGTGTGCCTGTCTCTATCCTTGACCTTGAAAGAAAATTTCATCAGAAGTTTTCTGTTAATTATGATAGTTTCCTAAATCCAAGAAAAAGCCACCCACCCTGATGCTAAGATTATCCCCTGAGCCTTGACATGCTTGAAAGTGGAGTATCCAAGAAGCTCAAGAAATTTGGCAAAATGTCACTATTGTTTTGCAACTAGTGAGTGACGCTAGGCACAGTGAGTGGCCTTAGGTACTGACACGTGGCCCCTAATGTATCTGGGTTGGAGGCCTCAGGAATTTGCATTTTGCTTACTTTTCCTCCATGATGTAGACATGGAAGACATCCATTCTTGTGCATGTAGAAGCTTAACTATTGAGCAGGTACTATGAAATCTCTCTCTCTCTCTCTCTCTCTCTCTCTCTCTCTC